TATCTTAGGTAAATCTTTTCAAAGTGACTCCATTTTGATTAGGACAACTTTCACATATTCATTAAATCAATCAATATCTTCTGGAGCCTATGAACTATGTCAGGGCAGACAAGCAGCAGTGAACAAAATCAGGCAGTCTGCCCTCCTTGGGCTGATAGCCATTAATGACAGGTAGTTAAACCTTGAATAGTAAACACTAGAATAGTAAAAAGGTGCTGAGTGAACCAGGTGCAGGGGGCTCACACCTGTAATCCTAGCTACTCAGGAGGCTGAGATCTGAGGATTGTGATTCAAAGCCAGGCTAGGCGGGAAAGTCTGTGAGACTCTTATCTCCAATTAACCACCAGAAAACCAGAGGCGGCACTGTGGCTCAAGTGGTAGAGTGCTTGCCTTGAGCTGAAGAGCTCAGGGACAGTGCCCAGGCCCCAGAGTCCAAGCCCCATGACCATCAACAACAACAACAACAACAAAAGTTTTGAGTGAGGGAAGGAGACCAAATAGAGTCCTAAAGGTCTAAACCAGGAGAGTTGTTAGCTCATGTGCTTTACCCCAGCTTCTAGGGGTCAGCAGGCATAAGACCCATTGGGGCATGGGTGTGCCCTCCCCTAAGCTGCAGGTGACCTTGGAGCCTGCTTTGGCTCAGTGATTTGCTTGAGAGCCCCTGTGGCTGAGGGGGTAATGCAAGTCCATTTGTCAAAGCCTGCTGCGTTTGATCCCATCAAAGCTGTGTGAGCTGTCTTCACAGGACTGGGACATTAAGCCCAGAAGAAGATTTGTGTGTCTCATCTGAGTAACGAGCCGTGAAATCGACATTATAAGTTTTAATTGTTATTAATGCCTTGCAGGGGTGGCTGAGTTAATTGTCCCATGAGTCTCCCACATTTACCCTCCCCCCATACACACATTTTCTTTTATTTCCTCTCCTTAATGTCCTGAGTCCTGTAACAGTGGCTTCATTTTCTCCTAAGGGGAGCACTCTTTGGGGTGAGAGCCTCTAAACAGAAAGGATTCAGGCTCCAAGGAACCTACTTGGAACCTATGGCTGGAAAGTTGGGAGGAAGGTATGAACTTATGGGTCTCTTGATACTACTGAAATCTGCAGAAGCCTCCTGCCCCTTAAAGTGTTTTGCTGCCTGTAGGCCCTTCCATGAACTAATTAGTTATCCTCATAAAAAAGCTTCAAAGAGGAAAGATTGTGGAAGTGCCCATGTTGTCATTTCTGAGCAATTTTTTTTGACAGTGAACTGGTTTCTGGTTCTTCTGCCTCTCTGCATTATTTCTTTTTCTTTTCCTGTTTTCTTCTTTTCTTTTTTCCTTTTCTTTCTTTTGTTTCTGCACTGGGGCTTGAACTCAGGGCCTCATGCTCTTGCTTTGCTTTTTCACTCTGTCACTTGAAGCACATCACCACTTCCAGCCTTTTGCTGCCAATTAGAGATAAGAGTCTAAAAGGTTTTGTTTGCCCAGGCTGGCTTCAAACAATGACCTTCATATCTCAGCCTCCTGATTAGCTAGGATTATGGGCATGAGCCACCAGTGCCCAGCTTTCCGAATTATTTCTGGCTTTTAAAAAATGCCCATAGACATGACTTCTGCATCTTAAAAAGCTTTATTGCACCTCTTGGTTTTGCTCTGTTACTTACTCCTGTACTTCTGATCTCTCTCCTCTGACTTCTGGCTTTGTCCCTGTCCACCTCCTTTTCCTTGCCCACCAGTGAAGATATATAGGGCATAGCTGTACAGCCACACCAGAGCCCATGTACTTCCTTTGCTTATAAAGACACCATCTTTGGTTCAGCAAGTGAGGTCCTAGCCACCTGTGGAGCTGTAATCAGGGTGCACAGTCCCCTAGCTGTGTCTGCTGGCTAGCTCCTACCCTGGCTCACATACATGGGGAACTGCCCTTCCACCTGGGGCAAGAGTTGTGCATTTTGCTTGGATCTCCACAGGGCCTATTGGGTACCAGACTTGCCATACCTAATCTTTCTCTAACTTTCCCCACTCCTCATTCCCACCCAGAAATAGCCCGAGTTCCTTTTAAGTAACAGCATACAAGGGTGTATCAGGGGTCGGGGGTTCCTGGTTCTCATTGTCAGGATGAACCTAGCCCATCCTTGTCCTGGGTGCTTTGTTGAATAGGATGAATTTTGTGGCTAGAGGCTAGGGAGGTCCACTAGAGTACTGCAGGCTTGAGAGGTAAAAGGAGGTTGAAATGTAAGCTGGAAGTTTCCAGAAGCACACTGTCCTTGGGAGTGAGGGTGCTGCACAATGTGGAGAAGTATGTTTGTATCAGCTCTGAAGTCTCAGCTGTTATGCTCAAGGGCTTAGCCCCATACAGAAAACATCAAGGATTTTCTGGAATCAGCAATGGGTGGGGAGAGGGTGGTAGGTTCAGCTTAGTGTTTGGGAAGCCAACAACCCGGTGAGGTACATTGGTTTGGAGCAGAGGAAGGGCTAGCAGTGGGAGAGGAAAAGGCAGAATATGCCTCCAAGAGCTAACAGGACTGGAGAAAGAATGTTGAGACAAGGGAAAAGCAAGCACCACAATCCTCAAATCTTAGCTTCCTGAGTAGCTAGGATTATAGGCATGAGCCACCAGCACAGGGCTTGTATTTAACTTTTAAAGCAGTAATAAGTGAGTTAAAATAGAAGAAAGCTACTCTGTCTTTTTAAAATAATTTTAACCTAACAGACTGAACCAGGGTTGCCTAGGCTGCCTGGGCTGGGTAGTTCCTCATTCTTGCTGGTGAGATGTAGGATGCTTGGCAGCTTCTCTTGCTAAGGTTCAGTAGATGTTAACAATACCTTACCTCCCAGTTGTAACAATTAAAAGACACCTTCAGACAAAATTGTCCCTGAGAATTGCTGGGTCAGGGGCTGGCCCTGTGGGGCAGTGGGATTCTTCTGGTGGTTCATAGCCAGCAGCCTCTTCCAGTCTTTTTTAAGCACAGTGTTTGTATTGCCAATTACCCCTTTGCCTCTGCTTTCTAAAATTGGAGCCTGTTACAATCTATTGTGCTTACGCTACAAAACTATCCAGAATGAGCATTATTGGACACAAAATGATTTTTTCCCCTCTCTGAGTTCTGTAATGAAAAACCCTCTGGTTCTCCTATTTAATTGGTCAGTGTGGCTGTTTGTCAGTCTGCCAGCAGGTCTTTCTTTAACTACTGTCGTTTGACGTTGCTGAGACATAAATGTAGAATGATTGAGTTGCAACATGCTATTAAGTCCTCTACAAAGGGTTTTTGATGTACTGCTGCTTGGGGCTTTTGTTTGCGATTGATTGATTTGAATACTACAGAAACCCTTGGCACAGGCAGCCCTGGTGAGAAGGCTGCTTCTGGTAGGAAAATTGCCAGGTATTGACTGAGGACAATGGTAAGGCTTTCCTCTGACACAGTGTGGCTAAGTTTACTCAGTTGAGCAGGTGTGGGCCATCTATAATGAGAAAGGAGAAAAAAATCCATGTACCTAAAATGAGAATCGTTAGGAGAAATCCAGAAGTGGATAGCAGCATCAGACCAACCCCAGATCAAGTGACAGACAGTACTGAGGGACAGACAGTTGCCAGGTATTTTACATACTTATTTTTTGTTGGTGGTAGAGGAGTTTGAATTCAGGGCCTTGAACTTGCCAAGTGGGCACTCTACCTCTCAAACTATACCTCCAACTCTTTTGGCTTTTGTTAATTGTCAAATACAATCTTGCCTTTATGCTCTGATGCACTTGGACTGCCATCCTCCTATTAACCAATTCTGAGTAACTAGGATGGCAACAAACTCCACCATTCACAACCTTTTATTGGTTGAGATGGAGTTTTGAAGACAGTTTGGCTGGGCTGGCCTTGAACCACAATCCGCCCAATCTCTTCCCTATCCCAAATAGGTATGATTATAAGCATGATCCACTGAGCCTGGCCTAGTTGCCAAGAATTCTATTTGGGTTTCAGAGCTGGTCACTGAAACAAAGATGGCAGATGGAGTTTGGATGGGTTGGCTCACCTTTGGCAGGATGACAAGAGTTTCTCCCAAAGGATTTTAGTTGGCACCTCTGAACTCCTTATTGTATGTAGCAGAGTGGCTTCCATGTTCCTTGGTCAGGCTGTTTTTTGCTTGGACCTGGTAGGCATGTGCCAGTGGTTTAGTCCATGGAGAGAGGGAGGCCTTGTATGACAAATGTAATGTGGACTGTTATGATCAGTTTAAGGATCCCTGAACATGCGAGTTGTTCTAAGGGGTCAGTAGAGAGCTTTTCCGATGAACATCCTTGAGAAACAAATAATACCAAATGGAGAATGAGTCAGCACAGCATGGTAGGTAATAACATTTCAGAATTCCTGAGCTCTGAGGTGGATTTATCCTTTGTGGCAGGTTACACTCATGCCTCAGCTTCCTTATCTCTGAAGGAGGAAAATATATCACCTTCAACTTGTGTGTGTGTGTGTGTGTGTGTGTGTGTGTGTGTGTGTACCCACACACACACATATATGAGCACCTCTATGTGCCTGTACTGGGGCCTGGGCACTGTTCCTTATTTTTATTTTTTATTTTTTGCTCAAGGCTGGTGCTCTACCACTTGCTTCCCACCTTCACTTCTGGCTTTTTCATGGTTAATTGGAGATAAGAATCACAGACTTTTCAGTCTGGCCTGGCTTTGAACTACAATCCTCAGGTCTTAGCTTCCTGAGTAGCTAAGATTTACGAGCATGAACCATTAGCCCCTAGCTACTGTAAACTTTTCAACTCAGAATGAGAGGCCTGCAACCTCACTTGACCTTCATGGGTATTCCCCATTGGAGCCTCTTGTCTTATAGGGTCTGGAAGCTTGCATGTTTCTGTGACAGGATGTCTGTTCCTTTCTAATAGTTTCCAGTCTGAAGATATTCTCTATACAACCCCAAGACACAGAAGGATGCTTGGAATCCCTGGATGCCTAGGGAGGGTCCCATAAGGCATCCCAAGTAACCATGTGTTATTTTCTCCTTTTAGAATTTATCCCAGCTTCCCTATGGCAAGGCCCTTTACAGCTACGAGGGGAAAGAACCTGGTGACCTCAAGTTCAACAAGGGGGATATCATCATCCTGCGGCGCAAGGTGGATGAGAACTGGTACCATGGAGAGCTGCAGGGCACCCATGGCTTTCTCCCAGCCAGCTACATTCAGTGTGTTCGGCCTTTGCCACAGGCTCCGCCCCAGGGTAAAGCACTTTATGATTTTGAGATGAAGGACAGAGACCAAGACAAAGACTGCCTGACCTTCACCAAGGTAAGGTGAGCCCCACCATCAGAGCCCCACCTCTGTGCCTAGACAGCCCTTCCTACCACTTTTGGGGCCTAGTTTCCTCCTAGAGACTCTTGGGAAATCACTTAGCCTACCTCTCTGTGCTTCTATGAGAAAGAAGGATGTGTCTGCTTCAAGATATTTTTTTATGAAATTGGGTGACGGCGCACAAACCGACACATGGCTCCACCCATTGCTACCCTGGGAGTACAAGATCATATGAGCCTCTAGTAGATTTACAACTGGGCCTGGTACCCTTAGTCATGGTTCATAGCCTTGACTCTAGGACAGGGGAATTAGTGCTGCCAAGACTCACAGAGCTCACCGGGGAACGGCTACACAGGTCTCATTCATGTCACAGGAATGTCTGGTCCCACGCTGCGTCTGACAGCCCTCCTGCAGGATAACAGAGGTGCCAGGCTAGGCACAGAGAGCCAGTTGAAGTGCCAGTACTTACCTTTGGCACTACCCAGGAGAGCCAGTGAAATGCAGAGGACCTGATTCCTTGCAGTCCTGAAGTTCCTTTTAATGGATATCTGTACCAAGTATTAGACTAGCAGGCTGCATGTCATTTTTGCAATGCTCTGAGGTTCCAAAGGAAGCAATGGGAGCCTTAATTTGTCTACCTTGATTGGTTTTCTTTCCTCCTTTTTCTCCATCCGTTTATCCACTCCTCCCTCGCCATCCCTGATCTCTGAATATGAAACACTTGTAAATAACAGAGCTAGATTTTTTCCCTCAGTCTCTAATTTTGAGGCCCATGTTTTTCCTAGTTCCTCTGGGCTTTTATTGCTTTCCTTTCCTGTGTCCAGCCCATCCCTCTCTATATCTGCTGGCAAAGCTTGGCTGTGGGCTGCAACTCTGTAGAGAACTGCAGGAGTACCCCGTACAGCATTTTTTGAGCAAAATTGGCATGTCCTGTGCCTGGCTGCTATTTATGTCTTGTTCTATTGTTCATTCTGACAGTGAATAATCTGTTTTTCATTCAGATATCTAACTCTCTCTTTTTTTCCTTCATCAAGGTGTTCAGAAGCTAATTCCCATTGTCATTTGCCTGGTGTGGCTTCTCTGGAAGTCTGAACAAGAACTCTCTCTTCCCACTCTCCATCCTTCTCTCCCTCCTTTCCTTCCTCCTTCTCCTTTCCCTTCCCTCTGTCTATCTGAGGCCCAGAGTAGTGACTTCCCAGGGTATTTTGCTTAACCTCTCTATACAATGGCTTCTGGAGACTCTGCTGGAAAAGACCCTCCAGGGGGCCTATGGTGCTCTGTGCTGTCATTTTCTACCTGTTGGGTCTAGTCAGGGCCTTGCTAAGGAAACAGTCCTCAGTATGGCTTCAGGCTCAGCTGACCACAGTGACAGAGACAGCCCACGCCAAGGCCATTCTTCCGTGCCTCACTAGAGAATAGGGAAAACCAGACCTGGGAGCTTTCAGACAGGTCTAGTTTCTCTCTGTAAAACAGCCTATCTTGACTGCCACAGTAGCCTGCCTCTTTCTTTTTTTATGTTTTTTTTTTATTGTAAAAATAGTGTACAGAGGGGTTACAGTTACATGAGTAAGGTAATGAGTATATTTCCTATGGAACATTGGTACTCCTTCCTTTGTTTTCCCCATACCATCCCTTCCCTCCCCACCTCCCCAACTCTCCCCCTTTTCTCCCCCACCCCCGCCAAGTTGTAAAGTTCATTTTCATCATAGTGTCTTGTACATCTCATTGCAACAATGGGTCAACCTGTATCCTTGTTTCAGCATTTTGTTATTTCCCCTCCCCAAATTAGAAAAAAGCATGTATAAGATGCAGGGCACTGACATCAAATACAGTGAAAATGGGGGTTATACCATGGGGGAAGAACATACAAGAGAAACAAAAAAATGCATAGTACATTTTAGATACATTAAAAACAATAGCAAGAAAGGAAAAAAAGTTGTGTCTCTATCTTGGGGTTCATTTCACTTAACATTATCTTATATGGTCATATGTACATAGCTTTTGACCTTTTCTGTTTGTCCTAGACATATACTAGTTATTGCAAATAAGGAAACCATGGGACCTATGTTTCTTTGGGTCTGGCTTACTTGACTTAATATTTATATGAAACAATAAAAGACCCCAAATAGCAAAAGAACGTTGCTGGAGGAATATCAGCACCAAATTTCACACTCTACTACAAAGCCACAATAATCAAAACAGCTTGTTACTGACACATCTGACCTGAAGACCAATGGGATAGAACTGAAGACCCAGAAATGAACCCAAAGACCTATAGCCTGATCTTCGATAATGGAGCTAAAAAAATAGAACGGAAGAAAGACAGCCTCTTCAGTGCTGGCAAAATAGGTTAATAACCTGTAGAAAAGCTAGATCCCTGTATATCACCCTGTACCAGAATCAACTCCAAATGGATCAAAGACCTTGATGTCAAAGTAGACACCCTGGAAACATTACAGGAAGGAATAGGAGAAACTCTAGGGCTCCTTGGCACAGGCCGAAATTTTCTTAATCAAGACCCAGAAGCACAGAATAACTGTAAGGCTGCAAGCTTCCCTACCTACTGTACTGATCTACCTGCATCTCTTCTTAAAGTTTCCCTACTCAGGCTCTAAGGAACATGACTGTTTCCCATGTCTCTGCTTGGCTCCATGTCTGTTTTCCTGGCAAGACTGGACAATGCCTATAGCATGACTGAGATGCACATGGCCATTGTCCCAATGGTCTCCATCTACCTCACATCCCAGGTAATCTAATGTCACTTGTGCTTCAGTATCCCTGGCTTTTGCCAGCTGGCTTTACCTCTGAGGACCATGTTTGCCATTTGGGTTTTATTCTATTCTGGTGCCTGAAAGGACACAAGAGTCTGTATAAACGCAGGACAGTGCCATCATGGTGACATTGGTGGCATTTAAAGAATCATGAGGCAGGTGGATCAAAGCTAGACTTTTATTTTCATTGTTGGGTTTTGAATAGTCCTATTAAAACATCATTTAAAAATCACTTAAAACCCAGTCTTTGTTTTATTTAAGAGGAGAATGAATGTTACCTTTTGTAAAGTGGCTTTAAAACACATATTTTATAACTTCTCAGTATTGCCACTCCTAAAAAAGTTGAGAATGCACAAATACAAAGACTAATGCCCTGGCCCTGCCAAAAGATCTAAGAAGCTCTCTCTAGCTCTGTACCTGGGCCTTCTGAGTCTACAGGCAAGCTAGGCTTGATGGAGAGGTGTCTTGTGCAGATATGGACCTGAGGATTGTCTATGCGGCTTTAGAAAGACACTTCACCAGAGCAGTTCATCTTCTGATTAGGAACCCAGGGCTCACACTGTGAGTATGATGACTGTATAATCTAAGTGAAGAGCTGAGCTTAGAGTATGACATATGATCTCTCAAGGTGAGCTCCATTTGCATTTTGGTAGTTTACCCCTCATTCTATTTCTATGTGACTCTGGATCCCAGAAAATGTTTCCTGAGCCCCTATTATTCAGTAAGTTTAATTCATGAAGATACTGACATCACTGTGCTAGGGAATTGCATTTGCTCACCCTTGTGACTTCATGCTGCAATGGCCAAGACTCCTCAAAGGCCACAAGCTCTTCTCAGGCATGCCTGGGCTGAGCACAGAATCACCATTGTACAACTGGACTGCAGTCAGCCTTGAGGCTTGCCATGTCTACTTGGATCCTCCTTCTTGCCAGGAGGAGGCAGCACTGGATGGGATAGATGCAGCTGCTGTTGTGATCTAACTCTCACCTCATGCCCCCTTTGCCCATTCCCAACCCACTAGGGCCAAGAATCCCTTTTTAAGCACTATCATGATTTGTTCTGACCCACTCAAACTTACATTCTGCTGATGTATTTGTAAGATCTTCCATGCGACCAGCTTAAGGTCACATGCTAAAAATGATCATTTCTTAAATGCCCGGAACTCTCTTCTTTATGAATCAACCCATCATGGTCCTAGACAATGCTCTTCTCACCCAAAAGATAGACATAAATCAGTGAAAATCAAATGCAATTTCAACTCCAGAGTCAGACAAGGATTCAAATCACTTTTGTTTTGGGAAACATTTTATTAGTCTTTGAGACTCTTCTTACTATAAAATGGAGCTGATACTGGAATTGTTGAGCAAAGGTGTGTGGGAATGAAGAACACAGCAACTATTCCCATGCATGTTTTTGCTCTCTATCCTTACCTTTCTTTCCAGTTGAAGAGAAGTCACTGTTTCATCAAATGGTATACTTCCCTTAGATTACCTAGAGTGCTCATGAAAATAAAACATCCTCCCTGTGGTGAATATGTATGGAAAGCTGAGGATTTTCAGACTGATTCTGTTGCCCCTTGACTTCTTGATGGCCAATGCTTGGAGAGGTTTGCCTGGGGTAAAAAGTGGCCAGCCCCTATGTCAAGACTACAGCCAGCCATCTGGGCCACCTTGTCTTGTCATCCTCCTCTGGAGTAGGAATCTGAATGTTTTCCCCTGGAGAGATTCAGGAACTTTGGCAGTGGCCCAAATCAGCATGAGTCTGAGGGGACCCAGAGGTTCCCAATCATTCTCCTGAGCATCCTGCCCAGCTACTTACCTAAAATGTTATTAGGGACACTGAGGAGGTGTAGTTCTCCTTTATTTAATAGTAAGTTTTTTATTGTAAAAATACTGTACAGAGGGGGTTACAGTTACATGAGCAAGGTAATGAGTACATTTCTGATCAAGCTGTGTTGCCTCCTCCTTTGTTCTTTGTTTCCCCTTACCATCCCTGCCCTCCCACCTCCACAACTACAGCCCCCCCCCCGTGCCTAAATTGTAAAGTTCATTTTTCAACATCGTGTATTGTACAGCTCATTGTTACAATGGGTCAACCTGTATCCCTATTTAAACATTTTGCTTTTCCCTTCCCCTCCCCAAATTAGACCGTTATCAAATACAGTGAAAACAGGGGTTATACAGTGGGAGAGGAACATAAAAAGCAACAAAAAATCACATGGTACAT